CCACTACCTATGGATGCTATATGTATTTATCTGAAAGGTGCCTGAAGGAGGCTTTGTCCTTAATGCAAGTTTCCCCTTTTACATTTCCAGATTCTAATTGCAATTATGCAATTACACGAATTATTGAGGTAGAACATTAAATAGAAATCACTTGAATAACTTTTACTCTTTTTGGTTTTTAGGTAGAGCTTGTAAAAAGTTAGTTCAAATCAAGTTGGAAAAAATAATTAAGTTGGTTGGGTAAGGCTTTTATAGAACCAGGAATATATCCAAATACTTACAGTCTACTTGGGAGTCTAAGTTAGAAACATGAAAAAGATTTTTAAAAAATACCTAAAAGTCAAGCTGAATGCAATAGATTTGACATGTTTTGATTTGAATTAAGAAGAGGATTGGTTGAAAGTAAAATTCAGATTAAGCCTTAAACAGTATGACATGAAAAAATTATTTCTATTAAGAAAACAAACTATTTGTTTCTAACTGTCCCACCAGCCACATTCTAAGGACAGCGGATTCAGGTTGTTGGAGATTCTTTTCTTTCCTGGCCTTACACATATTTAAAATGAGGACTGAGGAATCAGTGAGGGAATACAAGATTGCTGTGCATAAGAAAGGCAGAAAGAGCTCAGAGGGCAGCTACAGGGGACTCAGAACTGGAACCAGAGCTATAGAGGGCTCTGTGGGGTAAGGGCTGGGAGGCAGAGAGATGTAGTTAGGGTGCCCGGGACATGCAGCGTGCTCTCAGTAAATTCATTTGTGTGTTTAATATTTACTGAGTATCTAGTATGTTCTAGGCACTGTGTTATGTGCTAGAAATATGGCAGGAAAGAAAGAAACGAAGGAAGGAAGCCCTGTTTTCAGGGGGCTGATGTTCTAGCTGTGGGACAGAGATGCTGAACAAACAAACAAATATGTGCATTGGTGTCAAGGAAAATAAGGCAAGGTCAAAAGACAGGAAGAGGCAGGTAAGGTGCTGTTTTAGACTGTTTTCAGGGGAGCTGTCTCTGATAAATTGCATTCAAGCAGAATTTTCAAAATATAATTATAACTCTCATGCAAATATAAAATGAAGTAAGATTACTAGATTAGATTTTAAAATGAGAAACGCTCTCTACTGCAATAAGAATAAACTTTGGGGTTATATTTTCCACTGGACAGAAAGATTTGCATCTTCGTTGGACAAAAATATACAAGTTAGCTTGTGACTTCAATGCCCCAAATCTTTAAGAGTCTGAACAGGTGACATTTGTTCAGAGACCTGAGTGATATCAAAAGCAAATAGGTGAGTAGATGAATAGTGAAGAGGGGAAGCATTGAGTGTCAAACTCCCTCCCATCTCTCTCCTACTCCATTCGCTACAAAATATTCCCTTCTCATTGATATTTGGAGGAGTGGGTTCACCTTGGGAAAATGAAAGGAAATAGAGTCCTCTAGGTTGATGAATGATTATAGAGGATACCCTGGAGCTCAGCACATCTGGACATAAGATCAGGGAGGAAGGAACAGGGTGGGAAGGCCAGCAAAGACTCAGAGGTGAGGGCACTGGGAAAAGGGTGGGCCAGCAAGTAGCTGTGTTGACTGCAGAAGATTTCATGTACTGGTTGAAGAGACTCATCTCTACTTCTCCTGTAAAAGGAAGAAAAACATAGTTATGAACTCTCGACAGATAGTGTGAAAGGCAAGAGAATTCCTCTTCTGTCTTTCAAATCTACATCCTCAGCATGTTCTCCTGCTGTCTCCTGGTGCTTGGGTGGCTGCTGCTGTTACACCCACAGCCATTTCCTTTATCAGGGAGGAAAAACTTTTCCTAATCCACTGTCTATCCTCCTCCCAACTTCTGCTGCGTCTCACTGGCCAAAACTTGTGACCACCCTAGTGGCAAAGTAGGCTCAGAAAGTGATCTTTTTGATTTCTTAACTCCTTTATGGAAGGTGAACAAGGAAGAAGGGGGCGAGGAGTGGCAAAGGATGTTGGAGCTAGTAAACCTAGAGTATATGGGTTGTATTTCTTTTCTAATTCAGTCTTGAGGTCTCTTTCTGGGAGTGGTTATAAATGTTAGCTCTTCCTTGATGGGGCTTGGATATTTACAGTATGGCTTCCATGGCATACTTCTTTATCCTGGCAGACGGCCTAAATCCTAGGTGTCTGACCCATGACCAGGGGTCCCTCTCACAGGAAGCTTGTTTATATTAGCAGACACATTTGTGGCTCTTGTCTGCCCCATGTCTGGTTTATTCCAACCAAGATAGCCACTCTCTAGGACAGCCATAACCAGGAAACAACTCGGGTTTGGGTGCATAATCAGGTGAGATACAGAGGAGGTGAACAAAACATATGAAATAACAGAAGCAGTTTCATTACTTACAGATCCATAAGAAGAGGACAGCATGCCTCATAGGGCTGACGGGAAGGGGGACACACATGCTCAACCAGTGGGAGCGGGACGAGACAGAGAGAGGGACTTGTGGGCCAAAGCCTTCACTGTGGTCCTGGGTGTTACCCAACCAGGTTTCTCTTGAAGAATTCTAATTGGCTGGCTTCAAGTTCCCTGACATCCCACTGTGACTAAGAGGTGGTTACTGAGGCATATCTGCAAAGTATATGTGGGGTATAGGGGTCAATTGGATGAAGCAAGTAGCTTGTACCTGATGGTTCGATAGGGAGGTGGTCACCAGAGGTGGTCATACAAGGCAGATCTCTGGACTGACCACATAGAGGAAGTGGGAGGAGGCAGAGAACTAGAGACTGTCCAGGGTGACTAAGCCCTGATTCTAGTATGAGAAGGTTAAACCTGTCCTCAGAATGGATAGCGAGGCCTTTGATATGTTCTCCCACCTCTTCATCAAGCATATTGACAAATCCTACTTCACCAACTTGTCTTTCTGTAACCTCCCAGTAGGTTCACCTTGCCCGCTGCCTAGATAGAGCCAATTTATCAGGACAGGAGAATTGCAACAGAGAAAGAATTCACACAGAGCCGGCTGTGTGGGGGCCAGTTTTATTATTACTCAAATCAGTCTCCTCCAGCAGTCAGAGTTTTTAAAGACAATTTGGTGGGTGGGGAGGGGCAGTAAGTCAGGGAGTGCTGATTGGTTGGGTCAGAGATGAGATTATGGGGCTTCACTGTCTTCTTGAGCTGAGTCAGTTCCTGGGTGGGGGTCACAAGATCAGATGGGCCAGTTTATCATCTGGGTAGTGCCAGCTGATCCATCAAGTACAGCATCTGCAAAACACCTCAAGAACGGATCTCAGGAGCAGTTTAGGGAGGGTCAGAATCTTGTGGCCTCCAGCTGCATGACTCCCAAACCATAATATCTAATCTTGTGGCTAATGTTGGTAGTCTAGACCCCAGGCAAGAAGGAGGTTTGTTTTGAGAAAGGGTTCTGTCTTTGTTTCAAACTGTAAATTATAAACTAATCTCCTCCCAAAGTTAGTGCAGCCTACGCCCAGGAATAAACAAGGACAGCATGGAGGTTAAGGACAAGATGGAGTTGGTTAAATTGGATCTCTTTCACTGTCTTAGTCATAATTTTGCAAAGGCAGTTTCATTGCTACCTGAATGATTTTCCTAACTTCTCCATCAATCTCCTGGAAGCCTTTCTCCTTAATCAATTTCTTCAACTCTGCCAGACACGTGGGAGCTTCTTCATCAGCAGATGTGGCCTCTCCAGTTACTTTTATGTTTTTTCAGTCCTCAATCTGTGTAGCTGTCCTTTACTTGCAGTAAATGGCTTGGTGTGCCTAATTTCAGGGGATCCCTTTCTGAAGTCTTCCCATAGGCTCAACACTTTCTGACAAAACACACTGTGGTCAGTTGAAACACGTTTTCTATTCATGTCTCCCACCCACAAATGTAATGCCTTTTCCGTCTTTTGCTGTTGCACTTCAAACTACAAAAGTTACAGCCACAGTGCATGACAGGTGCTTAGTTCACTAGCACGAATCTTTTTCCTTCTTCACAATTTCATGGATAATTTGTTCTTATCATAGATTTTGGCAACCTCAGCATATGATTCTTTTTCTTTCACCTCTTCATTTAATGAAGCACTTTACGGCTTCTCCTTGGCATATCCAAACTGTCAGCACCACAATTCCTGTGCTTTACGGCCATTATTAAGTAAAATAAGGGTTACCTGAACATAAGCTGGTGTTCTCTCTCATTATCGCGGCTGTACTACAGGTGCATCTGTTAACCAAGGCAGCTACTGAGTGGGTAATGGGTGGATACGGGGCTACCTGGGACAAAGAGGTGATTCGCGTCCAGGGTGGGACACAGTGGATGGCCCGAGATTTAATCGGGTTACTTGGAACGCAGGCGGTTTGAAACTTAAGAACTGTTTATTTCTGGAATTTTCCATTTAACATTTCTGAACCAAGGTTTGACCACAGGTAACTGACACTGCAGAAAGCATGAGGGGTGGGAGACTACTGCATTAATATTAAAATTTTCAAATATTACTTTTTGGTAATGAAGTGTGATTCAGGACCCTCCCTCTCAAAGATTAAACGAGATCACCAGGACCTCCGCCAGCTTCAGCCGCTCTGCACGACTCCGCCCTCGCAGCCTAGCCAATCAAAGCTACAGGTTGAGTGACGTCACTCCGCTGAAAGTCCTCGCTAATTCCCGTACTCCTTTTCTCCGCCCTGCACCTCTACTATTTGTTACAAGTGGCCAGCAGCCATTTTGGATTTGGGCGGAAATGAAAGTAAAACTGTGCTGTTAAAAGCTTAAAAATTCAAGTCAAGACAAACTTGAGCATTCGACAAAAACGTCTAGAAAGGGGACATCTTGGTGGACTAACTAGACCATTAGGGCAGTGAGTGAAAAGCGGGGACGTCACAGCGCCCACACTCAAGATGGCACTGGCCTGAGACTCACCTGTGCGGCCACTCTACCTCGGTTCCTGGTTCGTTGGCCTCAGCGGTGGCGTCGGAGGGAGGAAGGCGGGCCTTCTGTCCCGTTTCCGGACCCGTCTCTATGGTGTGGGAGAAACCCGGCCCCCAGAAGATTGGGTGTAGTGGCCACAGCCTTACAGGCAGGCAGGGGTGGTTGGTGTCAACACGGGGGCCAACAGGGGACCAAAGCCAAGACCCTCGGCCTCCTCCCCCGCCGCCCTGCCGCAGGTAACAGGGAGCCCCCTTGCAGGACTGCGCCGTGGGGGAAGGGGCCGGGCGGGGAGGAGGCGGCGGGCGCGCGCCCCGCCCGCGGGTCTGCGCTGTGGGTCCCGCGCAGGAGCGAGCTCGGCGCGGCTCCGGCTGCCGGTTGAGCTGTGCTCCTCGCTTCGGAGCAGCCTCCCCTTGCTGATTGTGGGTCGCCCTGTAATCTGCGCTTCGCGGGCGACCCCCGCCGGGTGAGGCGCCCGCGGTCAGAGTTCTCCTAGGCAGCCGCGGAGTCGGTCCTCGCGGGGAGGTGTGGAAGAGGTGAGGGGCCAGCGAAGCGAGAGCCGAGTCCCGGCCCCTCAGTGACCCCGCAGGGTCGCGGCGAGCAGGGCGAGGGTGCTCGGCTGGGCGCGTCACTGTCCCGGGGCGGCAGTGCCCGAACCCGGGGGACTCTTGGGGGCGCGCCCGCCCTCGGGAAGGCGGCCTGATTCTTGATCCAAGACCAGTGCCCGGTCCCCCAAGGCCCAGCTGGCTCCTGTCTTGGCGTAGTGCTTTCTGTTTAGAATAAAGATGAAACATTTTTCGGAAGGGCATATTCAGGAATCCATGTGAAATTCTCGGAGTCGGATCTCGAATTTTGGGGGTCACTGTTACTGCTGTTTTAAGGACCCGTGTCCTTATAAAATGTAATATCTTGAGCTGAAATCATGATTATTTTGGTCCATGAAGACATAATTGGGTATTGCTTGTCAACTAGCAATGCTGGACTGAGTTCCGCAGAGGGGATGTATACCTGAAACAGACGAAAGCGAAGGGCCGGAGTAATGTTACCGCTGGGTACCAGAATATCAGCCAGTACAGTGCGTCCTTAATACTCACAGTGCAAGCCATTATCTTCGGAACTTTCAAGCTCAGGGAGCTAGGACCAAGAGAGTCTCGATTAATTGCTGGGAAAAGAAAATATTTGGTAGAAATATTTCCCTAGAGCACAAAGGTTTCTTAGTTGAGTGTATGAGTTGCCCTTTGACCTAGACAAGGGTTTTCTTAATCTACAGGCGGTCCAGAAATTTCGTGTGCTGGCCAAGTAGGCAAAAGAGTGGAGGGAGATTATTAAAGGGAAGCCTATGATGCATATTCAAGTCAAAGACTGTCAACTCGGTGTTTTTTTATAGAGTGGAGATGCTAACTGCTACAAAATACCTATTCTGTGATACTAGGATATACCTTCTTGTGACTTTTTAATTTCAAAGCTAATGAGCAAGATTTTGTGTTTTCCCCCTCCTCAAAACAACAGGAAAGCATTTGGAAGGCCAAGTGTTTTTCTTACATTTCAATAGATCAATTTTTGCTGAAATATCATTTTTAAAGCACTGGCGGGCATGGTGTAATCTCAGCAACTGGGGAGACTGAGGAGGGCGGGTCGCTTGAGACCAGGAGTTCCAGGTTACCGTGAGGTAGGATAGCGTCAGTGCACTCCAGGCCAGCGACAACAACGAGACCCTATCTCTTTAAAAAAAAAAACCAAAAAAACAAAAAAACAAACCAAAAAAACTGTTCATATAACAGTATTTGTGTCTCTTTAGATGTATTAGTGTGAAGAATTACTGCGTCAAAACATTCTCAAATTGCAATACTCAGCACACCTTTTTAATTTTCCCCCAATAAAGTTTGCACTGGGGACCTAGAATATAATCCTACCACTCTCAGTATTACACTGATGGTATCAGTGGATTCCTGTCAAAGTTAACATACTTTCAAAACAAGAAAATGGCATCCTTTCCAGTTCTCTCAAGAAATTCAGTCGTCTCTTTTAAATTTTTAAGTGATATTTTTTAAAGTCTTAGACCTAAAATACACTAAGAAAAATGAATTTTAACTACTTCCTAATGCTTTTATAACTTTGTTAATTACTTTATAGTGGAATTCATATAAAATCTAAGGTTAATAGCTATTGCAAGGTCAATATTCCCACAAGGAAGTATTTCGCTATTTAGAAATAGCTAAGTAAACTAAATGTCCCTTTCTTCTGCCTCTGGTGACTGCCATTCATCTAGCCAGAGCGCTGACCCTGAATCCTGGTGGCAGTCTTATCTCCCGGGAGGACTAATATTAACACTAAATAAACAGCATGATTTCCTGTCAAGAAGATATTCATTTACATACAGTCCCTTATTCTCTGCTTTTCTCTTACTGTGTGTTGATTTTGGAAAGCTGTGTTTTGTGGCTAAGAGAGAGAAGGAGGTCAGACTAGCTTCAGATACTTTCAAAGTAACACTTCTGTAACTCACTCTTCCAGTCTGGCTGGCTTTTCAGGCAGGAGTTGGAGACCAAGTAGAGGTTTCTGCCTATGAAATGGCAATTAGTTTCAAAGAACATAGACCCATTCAAGCTACCTGAGGGAAAGGGGGCTGGTTATAAGCGTGTCAATGGGATGTTAGGGTATCTGGGTGGAACTGGGTTTGAGGCTGGGCTTCTGGTAATCTTGAGATGGATAGTAGCAATGTGCCCCCTAAGTATGACTAAGCTACTGTCCCAGTGTTTGCTTTTTTAAATTTTTCCTACCAACGGACTACCTCTGTGCTTGACAAATTTCTGACTTCATGTGGCTTTGGTTTGCCATAGCTGCAACTCTACCTCATAGCATCCTTCTACCTTCAGCTATGCTTCTAATAGGCAAAAATTGTTCTTAGTTCAAATTCCTGGGGGAGACAATGATCTGGCCAGTTTATCTCTTCACTCAGGCCATGAGACTGATGACTAATTTGTGAGTTGACCGCCCTTTGGCCCAGGCTAGGTACCTGACAACATTAACTGTGCCCAAGAAAAGATGGCAAGATCAAGTGCTAAGCATGAACCTCCCTACTCAGCAGGCGGTTGTGACCATCTGGCCAGCACTCCATCTCCAGAATCGAGGGATTAACATCATTGCTTTTACTCATGGTCCCACATAAACTTTTTATTTGTAGTCCCAGTAGAAAGGTGAATGTTACCATAGTTGCCATACTTGGCATTTTTTTAGTCCTGTTTTTTGCTTCTCTGTCATTTTTAAGAAAGATATATTGCCAGGTAGGTAGGAATTCAGTGAATTTGTTACAAAGCAGATTTAGTTCTTACTCTCAGAAACAGTTTTAGATTTTGAAAAGCTTCAATTTTAGATAGCTTTAGACTTTATACGTGTGTTTCTTATATAACGATGGTTGTGGATCGGTAGGCATTTTAAATTTTGTTCTAGGCATGTGTTTTGAGCAGCATTACATACCCGGTGTAGAAGGTGTTGTATGGAACTTCACCGAAGTGGGGAAAAATTCCAAGTAGAGGGTCAATGTGTAATGATTATTGAGTTTATATTTGTCCAAAGAATACAGATTTTTAAACAAATTTTGAAAGGCCTACATAGAATTACTGGCGTATTTGTAGCAGTTTGCTTTCTACATTGCCAGAGTTAGTAAGAACTCTATTTTCTAATTTTTATATTATGGTAAAGCCACCACTGAAAACTGACTGCCACAGATTTTTCAGACATACGTTGTTTGGCCTATATAGGTTTAGAAAACATTTGATCCAACATTGAAAAATGTGAAGATTTCCACAAAACTATTCAGGCTGTTGGTTCCTCATGATAAGTGGCATGATCTGACAGTTCTGAAACTGCAGTCCTGGTTGGAACTCTGTGATAGCCACTCTCTTCAGAATGAAGGCCTCTCACACTAGGTCCCAGGCACGCATAGTAGGTCCCTGTGCCAAGCTGCCAGTATTGCTGGGGTTCTGCGCATTACCTGTTGTCACCCTGTGAGTTTGTATCCCTGTTGTCAAGAAAGATACGTTTATATTGTAGAAGATTTGGAAGGTGCAGGCAAGTGTGTGTGTATACAATTACCTATTGTCTGACCTTCCACCGCAAACCTCTGTTAATACTTCAACATATATTTTTCAAGTCTGTGTGTATGTATGCATATATTTCTTTTTAAAACAACTTTGAGGTGTAATTGATATAGAATAAATGAAAAAAGTGTACAGTTTTATGTTTTGACGTTTATAATCACCCATTGCCATCATTATAATCAAAATAATGAATATATCCATCTTCCCAAAATCTCCTCATACATCATGATAATCCTGTCTTCCCCCTTGGTCCCTCTAACTGTGCCCCTTCACTAGGCAAGCACTGAAATATTTTTTCGTAGTTGCATTTGAATTCTGTGTATGTGTGGGCCTTTTTTTTTTTTTTTTTTTTTTAGTGTTTGAGATTATTTGAGATGATTCAGTTTTGTGGTTTCCCCTTTTTACTTGGGATAGCCTTGAAGAGTAGTGTGATTGTACTTTTTCTTATGTTTATTGTCATCTGTGTTTCTTCAATGAGCTGTTTTCCTTCCCATTATTGTACTGGTGTTTTAGTGTTTTACTTGGTTTATATGAGCTCTTCATTTGTTAATATGTTTTTCATATTAACAATGTTTTTCAACATATTAACATTAAAACAATGATTTTCATCATTGTTATAAGTATTCTCCAATTTGTATTGTTTTCTTTTATAATTTTAAGTTATTTTAGACATACAGAAGTTTTATTGTTTTTGAATAATAAAGTTTTACAACATTTTCCTTAGGATATACAAGTGAGTTAGGAAGTATGAATTACTTTATTCTATTTTTGATTGCCTTTCCACTCTGAAAGTTTGTATGTGGTGGTGTTTGGGGAGGGACAGTAACTACATGTGACTACTTAGTAATGTGCATTTTCTCTAGAGTTGTTAGTTGTTAATTAACAACTATTGCTGGTAACTTGCTGAGCATTTACCATTTTTACTGTCAAATGTCCTAATTACGAGGATCGAAGAAACTAGTAGTTTGGGGTGGCTATGTCTGAATATCTCTTGTTTATGTTGCAGATAGGGATTTAATGTTTGAAATTGTTTTCTGTTTTCTTTTAGATCTGCTTGGCTTTGAGGAAGAGTGGCAGTACTGCCTCACTGCATAAGGGATGGGATCAGAGAACAGTGCTTTAAAGAGCTATACACTGAAAGAACCACCATTTATCTTACCCTCTGGACTTGCTGTTTATCCCGCTGTACTGCAAGATGGCAAATTTGCTTCAGTTTTTGTGTATAAGAGAGAAAATGAAGACAAGGTTAATAAAGCTGCCAAGGTACCATAATAGGTGATGACTTAATAGTTAGTACTTTTTACTATCTTGTTTTCTTTTAAAAAAATATGAAATTAGTAAAGGTCAAAAGAGGTAAGATCATAAGGAACAGTATTTTATTATTTATGTCCTTTCGAAACATTGCTCTTACTTCGTGGGCCTATCTTGCATTTGCATGACATGGTCAGGTACCATACTATAGCCAAAAAACATCATAAAACTCAGTATGATGGCTTTTTTTTTTTTTTTTTTTTTTGAGATAGAGTCTGGCGCTGTCTCCCAGGCTGGAGTGCAGTGGCACCATCTCGGCTCACTGCAAGCTCCGCCTCCCGGGTTCACGCCACAATGGCTTTTATCATATTTTATTTTTCTGGTGAGAAAGTTAGGGAGACATTTTTATATAGCTAATATAAGATATAAGGAGCGATATAAGGGGTTAATCTTGTCTAGCAAAATTCTGTTAAGTATTGACAACATTCTGTAGGCTTCAGCTTCCTCCTGAGGGAAAAGATCCTTGTAGTTCATACCTTATAATTGCTGCTCCAGGCAGAGGGTGCCAGTGCATTAGGATGCTGTCTGTCACACTCAGGTGACCCTGGCCTCTTATTAGAGAAAAATGATTTTACTGTGGAATATAAGTCAATAAAATAACCCCAATTGTCTTTTTGAATTGGGGAAAATGAAGGCATTAGTTGATGCTTCTTTGGATAGCTAGCACTTCAGAAATTTAGTCATTCAGATATATCATCTTCTAAAAAGGAAAATGTAGTTGTATTAGTAAATTAATTCTCCAGTGTTTATTCTGGTAGGCATGCTATTTTCAGGTTGAACTTGATATCTTGATTTTGTTAGAATTAAAATCTCTATTACCTTGAGTCCCTTAGTAATATCAACAGGTATGGAACATTTATTTCTATTTCATAGGACTCTAAATTGTTTCTACTTTTTAACATGATTATAAAGGATTATATTAGTAATGGAATTTTGGTCTTCCATTGGTCACAACAGTTATTTATTTGATGATGTATTTTTGATCAAGCATGAAATTGTTATAAGATGGTTCCTAAAGAAAAAGATGGGTAACAGTTCTCTCGAGATGCATTTCCTAGCAATGCATTGTGGTAAAAAGTATAGCTGGCTGTTTTATTGCTAGGTAATTTTGCTTTTTGGTAGAACCACATTTTTGACTCTTTTTTTACATCATCTAGGTATGAAGAATTTTTTATTGTGATTTTACAAAAGACAAAATGCCTTATTTCGCTTTCTTGTTCTTACAGTTCATGTCTAACATGCCTCCTGTTATTTTTATCTAATAAGATTGTGCATATTGTTTTTTATAATAACTTAAACTGACTTATCAGCGAGGTACTAGAGATTTATCTTTCTTAGTTTTTTTTTCTTTATAAGATTTTTTAAAAATGGTGTTACCCTTTATGGTGCATGTACCAAGAAAATTGAATAACCTAGATCGAGTTTTTAAAGGAAAAAAACACAAAGTCCACTCTTCATTTTGGAGGACTTCTGTGCTGAAGGAATTGCGAAGCTTGAGAGGGAAGACTTATTCCCCCCTAATATCCATAGATACCCTTTTAAGCCATGTCTGAGTCTTTGCACATAGTTCATCTTTGTCTCTTGGTAAGCCATTCTGTGGCTTTGAAAACCTCATATATGAATTTGGGAAATTTGAAATTGCAACAAAGTGATAACTTTAGATTCTCAGAATGTTTCTCGTAATCTTAAAAAATGAGGTCATAGTACTTGAAAAATGTATGGCATTCGATGTGTTAGATTTTAGGAATTTAATGTCCTAGGTATCTGAAATACTAAAACAATATATTTAGCTTGCCTCACTTTCTCTAGAGTTTGGGTTGTTGGTCACACCTTTGGTAGTTTTAACGATTATTTCAAGCAGATATATGGTGTTTTCTGTGGCAGATGTTACTGGATAACAATATACACTTTCTCCACTGTTACAAGTGAAAAACAGCAATCATAGTACACCAAGATGAAATGCAGGTATCAGCTCTGGCCACAAAATAATATGAGAAATACTTAGTTCTATCTAACTATCCCATTTTATCTTGAATTCATCAGCTATAATTAACAGTATAATTTGCTAACTGATGATGATGACTCATATATGTAAGCCTATAAACAATGAAAAATTCTAAGCCTGAATTTGATGGCTGTAGTTTGCTGTAATCCAAGTGTTTAGTTAGGGCTTTGTGGTAAGTTTATAAAAGCTTATACAAATGATTCTTGAGTGTCTTCATGCCAGGAATCACATTGGACTATCTAGGAGTGGTATATAGATGCTATATAAGTGCTCTATTTAGTATTGTTGGAGTCATTATGCTCTTCTCCATAATGGATTCGGGCTGTTGTGGAAGGGTTGGTCAACGTATTTAAGAATGCACATTGTGTGGGCATAACAAGAAATGGGAGAGATGATGGCTTTGCCCAAAAGAGCTTGCATTCTAGTTGGGGAAAGCTGTTCTCCTCTTTCTCATACTGACTTTTTTTTTTTTGAGATGGAGTCTCGCTCTGTCTCCCAGGCTGAAGTGCAGTGGTTCGATCTTGGCTCACTGCAACCTCTGCCTCCTGGATTCAAGCGATTCTCCTGCCTCAGCATCCCAAGTAGCTGGGATTACAGGCACGTGCCACCACACTCAGCTAATTTTTGTATTTTTAGTAGAGATGGGGTTTCACCGTGTTGGCCAGGATGGTCTCGATCTCTTGACGTCGTGATTCGCTTGCCTCAGCCTCCCAAAGTACTGGGATTACAGGCGTGAGCCACCGCACCTGGCCCATGGTTGCATTTTTAAGAAATTATTTTTTGCCCTTCACAGTCAGAATGCAGTGGTCTTATGTGGCTCCTGGGCACTATCCACTCAGAAGAACTTCTGAAGTATCCTCCATGCCTCAGATATGATGGACCCACCAGATGGAATGGCCAGCTACTTGCCCCCACCACACCTTTCAGACTTCACTCTCTCCTTTTTCCTTAAATGTTGATAACCATCCAACCTGCTATTCTAAACTAATTATCTGCCAAAATCTCTAGTCTGAGCTCCAGATCTATATTTTCACTTACCTATTGAACATTTTCACCTAAAAGTTTTATCAGTACCTCAAATGCAAGCTCTACACAATGGAATTCTTTATTCCTTTCCCTTTTTGCGTTTTATTGTTAGTTTATGATCTAACCTTCAGATAGTGGACATTTACAAAAAAAAAAAGTATCTGCATTTTGTCTTAGATTTACATCTTCAGAGAAAAAGGAATAATATTTTCCCTTGTTCTCTAGTTTAGGCAATATGGTCATTTTATTATGTTTACTTAACATATTTAACAGCATGAATTATGGCTTTTTCCCATCTAAAAGCCTGCAGGTGGATTTGGGCTGTAACGCTGAGTCAGTCAACTTTGCGTAGTTCTCAAAGTGAAACAGCAAATCAGAGGCAGAACAGCAATAACAAGTTAAGCCTCTGAGGCTTGAATGAATTCTCTGGATAACTGAATCATAACTAATTCCTGACAAATGGGAATCATTTATATTTAGGGATAGAATCTCATACTTAAGATCCCTGTTTGGGTGTAGATAAATATCAACATTAATAAATTATATAATACTATTCATATTTAACAGTAAAGGTCCTTACTCAGAATCCTCTTTCAGAGACCATGACCTAGGACAGTGAATGGGATGTAACAGGTATTCAATAACTTTGGGGAAAGTGCTTTCAAGACACTGTCATTCAAAAATAGTCATCTTTCTCTACTAGGGCAAGAGCCATTTATTTGCTCAGCTGATGTTGATTGAAAAATATCCTAGTTACCCTTAGCAAGTATGTCTTGTTGCCATTCTTTAGAGCAGCAGAGGCTTGAATCAAAAAATGTTCTATTTGATTCTGAACTGCTAGCCTTTCCTGTGAATCTGTATGCATAATTTATGCTTAATATTGAATCTACCAAAGGAGAGTGACAAATAAGGTTCTTGCTAAGTGCCTTGTTCAGAAACAGGCAGTGAGTCATTTCTTCCTCTCCTTCTTTATTAAACAAACACGAACTCACTTTGGATCAAGAAATTTTCTAAGCATTGTAGAGTAAAACAATAAGCAGAAGAGAACATGAAAGATTTGGTTTGAAAATTATTTGAAATTTATTTGAAAATTACTTGAAATGATTCTTAAAATGAAAATATGAGGGAGGCTACATAATTTTATACAGAATCCGTAGCTCAAAACACACTTGTAGGCCAGGCATGGTGGTTCACACCTGTAAGCCCAGCACTTTGGGAGGCCGAGGTAGGTGGATCACCTGAGGTCAGGAGTTTGAGACCAGCCTTGCCAACATGGTGAGACCCCATCTCTACTAAAAACATGAAAATTAGCCGGGCATGGTGATGGGTGCCTGTAATCCCAGCTATTTGAGAGGCTGAGGTAGAAGAATCATTTGAACCCGGGACACGAAGGGTGCAGTGAGCTGAGATCATGCCATTGCACTCCAGCCTGGGTAACAAGAGCTATACTCCGTCTCAAAAACAAAACAAAAAAACACTTGTAAAAAATTATTCCCAGTTAACTTAACTGATTTAACCAACCTGCTAACACAATTTTTGGTTTATCAGGATCTTTGCTGTATTTGTTGGTTTGTAATTGCTACTTAGAGAAATTTTTTCTTCAATTTTTTTTAATTAGTTTTTATTAAATTAACTCAAGGGAAGGTAACACCTTTCTTCCTAAGAATAAATAAATAAACCTTTTTGGAACTATTCCCAGAGTTGGCAAAATGTGAGATTATTATAAGAAAATAAAAGACATTGGAGGCTGGGCACGGTGGCTCACACCTGTAATGCCAGCATTGTGGGAAGCTGAGGCGGGCAGATCACAAGCTCAGGAGTTCAAGACCAGCTTGGCCAACATAGTGAAATCCCATCTCTACTAAAAATACAAAACAATTAGCTGGGCGTGGTGGCGGGCATCTGTAGTCCGAGCTGCTTGGGAGGCTGAGGC